TCCGGGAGAAGTCGCGGATCATCCAGGAGGTGGAGGAGAACCCGGACCTGCGCAAGGGCGAGATCGCGCGGCGCTTCAACATCCCGCCGTCCACGCTGAGCACCATCCTGAAGAACAAGCGCGCCATCCTGGCGTCGGAGCGCAAGTACGGTGTGGCCTCCACCTGCCGCAAGACCAACAAGCTGTCCCCCTATGACAAGCTCGAGGGGCTGCTCATCGCCTGGTTCCAGCAGATCCGCGCCGCTGGCCTACCCGTCAAGGGCATCATCCTCAAGGAGAAGGCGCTGCGTATAGCCGAGGAGCTGGGCATGGACGACTTCACCGCCTCCAACGGTTGGCTGGACCGCTTCCGCCGGCGCCACGGTGTGGTGTCCTGCAGCGGTGTGGCCCGCGCCCGGTCGCGCAGTGCTGCCCCCCGGGCCCCAGCGGCTCCCGCCAGCCCGCCGGCGGTGCCCTCGGAGGGCAGCGGCGGGGGTTCGACGGGCTGGCGCGCTCGGGAGGAGCAGCCGCCGTCGGTGGCCGAGGGCTACGCCTCCCAGGACGTGTTCAGCGCCATCGAGACCAGTCTGTGGTACGACTTCCTGCCCGACCAGGCTGCGGGGCTGTGCGGCAGCGATGGACGGGCACGCAGGGCCACCCAGCGCCTGAGTGTCCTGCTGTGCGCCAACGCAGACGGCAGCGAGAAGCTGCCCCCGCTCGTGGCCGGCAAGTCGGCCAAGCCCCGCGCAGGCCAAGCCGGCCTGCCCTGCGACTACACCGCCAACTCTAAGGGCGGTGTCACCACCCAGGCCCTGGCCAAGTACCTGAAGGCCCTGGACACTCGCATGGCCGCGGAGTCTCGCCGAGTCCTGCTGCTGGCGGGCCGCCTGGCTGCCCAGTCCCTGGATACCTCGGGCCTGCGGCATGTACAGCTGGCCTTCTTCCCGCCGGGCACCGTGCAGCCGCTGGAGCGGGGAGTGGTCCAGCAGGTGAAGGGCCACTACCGCCAGGCTATGCTCCTCAAGGCCATGGCCGCGCTAGAGGGCCAGGATCGCTCGGGGCTGCAGCTGGGGTTGATGGAGGCCCTGCACTTCGTGGCCGCCGCCTGGCAGGCAGTGGAGCCTTCGGACATCGCTGCCTGCTTCCGCGAGGCCGGCTTCGGCGGTGGCCCAGATGCCGCCATCACCACCGCCCTCAAGAGTGAGGGGGAGGAAGAGGAGGACGAGGACGAGGAGGAAGAAGAAGAGGAGGAAGAGGAGGAGGAGGGTGAAGGGGAGGAGGAGGAGGAGGAAGAAGAAGAAGGCGAGGAGGAGGAGGAAGGGGGGGAAGGAGAGGAGTTGGGGGAGGAAGAGGAGGTGGAAGAGGAGGGTGATGTTGATGACAGTGAGGAGGAGGAGGAGGAAGAAGAAGAAGGCGAGGAGGAGGAGGAAGGGGGGGAAGGAGAGGAGTTGGGGGAGGAAGAGGAGGTGGAAGAGGAGGGTGATGTTGATGACAGTGAGGAGGAGGAGGAGGAAGAGGAGGAAGAGAGCTCCTCTGAGGGGTTGGAGGCTGAGGACTGGGCCCAGGGGGTAGTGGAAGCTGGTGGCAGCTTCGGGGGCTACAGTGCCCAGGAGGAGGCCCAGTGCCCTACCCTCCATTTCCTGGAGGGCGAAGAGGACTCTGAGTCTGACAGTGAGGAAGAGGAGGAAGATGAGGAGGATGAAGATGATGAAGATGAGGAGGATGATGAGGAGGATGGTGACGAGGTGCCCGTGCCCAGCTTTGGGGAGGCCATGGCTTACTTCGCTATGGTCAAGAGGTACCTGACTTCCTTCCCCATTGACGACCGAGTGCAGAGCCACATCCTTCACTTGGAACACGATCTGGTCCACGTGACCAGGAAGAACCACGCCAGGCAGGCGGGAGTTCGGGGTCTTGGACATCAAAGCTGAGCCACTGGGCCTGGTCCTGCCCGACCCGGATGTGGCAGCACCAGCCCAGGGCAGAGGACTCTCCGGGCAGCCGCTGTGCATGGAGCCAAGAGTGGGGAGCTCCAGAGCCTTTAGTGATGTTCCTCGGGCCCTGTGACAGGCCCAGCCACCTCGGTAGGGCCCGGGGCTGGCGTCAGCCTCACTGCCTGCTTATTGCCTCTTTCTCAGAGTCCTCTTTCCTCCCCCTTTGCCCCTGGGCGTGGGGGACCAGGTGGGGAGGGTGGGGAGCTGTCCGGTGCTACCACACCGTGCCATCAGTGGACTCGGCCACAGGAGCAGCCAGGGATGGGCCCTGGAAGCTCCCGGCCGGAGAGTGCCTCTCCCCTCTGCCGTCCACACCAGGTCTTTGGTGGGGGGGACCCCAAAGCCATTCTGGGAAGGGCTCCAGAGGAAGGTCCAGCCTAGGCCCCCACAAGGCTGGCAGCCCCCTACCCCTGCCCCTGGGCCGCCTTGAGAAGCACAGTCTAACTCAGCGCAGGCTCCTGAGCCTGCCTCTGCCTGCTTCCCCATCTTCCCAGTCCCTTTCTCTGGCCCAGTCCAGGTTACTTTGGCCCTTGGTTTTCTTTCCAGATTGGAGGTTCCCAAGAGGCCCTCCAGGGGAGTGATAATGGGCACTTCCCTTGTGGGTAGCCGCAGGCCCCATGCCTCTCCTCCCTCTCTGGCAGGGCCCTATCCTGGGCAGGGGGCCTGGGGCTGGGCCCATAGTCCAGCCATCCAGCCACTCCTTTCCCAGTCTGAATTCAATAAATCCGTCCACCCCCCTTTTGTGGGGGTGAACGTTTTAACAGCCAAGGGTGCATCCTTCATGGTCTGGGCTTGCGTCTGTCTTGGGAACACGTCCTTCCCTGGTTCCCTTTGGTCCTTGTTCTGGTGGGACATGGAACCACGTGTTGAAGGGGTAGCCGCAGCTTTGGCCCTGACTGGGGCGAGGGGCCATCTCCATATCTAAATATTATCTAGGCTTGGGGAGGAAAGGGTCTTCAACGTACCTGCTTGGGTTTGAAGAAAGCCGGTCTTGCACTGCTTTGGGGTTAGAAAGAAGCTTGGGGTCAGTTAGCTAGGAGAGGAGGGAGGGAGCCAACTCTCTCTGTTGGACCAAATTAAACTGGGAACTAGGCCTGTCGAGCCCATTAAAGAAGGTCCTTGCAGGAGTGGGGCCAGAGGACAGAGGAGGGGTGCTGGGGCAACTTCTGTGGTCCAGGTTGGAGTCTGGAGGGACATACAGGGCATCCCTTGGTTTACCTTTGATGCCTTAAGAGGGAGCCCTTTAGACCTTCCCGTGTTTGGCATCTCCAAGCCTGGTGGCTATCCTGGGGACAGTGGCAGGAGGAAGATAAAATTCCTGGGATAGACTGCACCTGCAAGAGGCTGGGGGCACCCCAGTCCAAAGGTGAAGACTGGTGTCTCTGCTGATCCTACCCCTTTTCTCCTTTCCTGGCCCAGCCCCTCCCTCATTGAGGCCCTCAGGCCCCAGCGGTTCCAGCCAGGGGAGGGCTTGGGCTTGAGGAGGCCGGGCAGCTCTGGGCCCCAAACCGGTTTTCCCACCTCCCCTGGGGCTGGCACATCGCCGCCGCTGTGGTTCCCTCCCCACCACTTCCTTTCAGTTCCTCTCTCCACCCTGGAATGTTAAGCGGGGGATGTCTAGGTCTTTTGTCCCTTGCCTGCCCTGGGTGTGGTCTCTTCTAGAAAGGCAAGGCCACTATGTATGACTTTAAAACAAGAAGGTAGGGTGACACTTCCACACTTGGCCTTCCACACTCCCGGCACTCAGATTTACCCTGTAGGCCTTGAAGACAGTGAAACTAAGGGATAGCAAAAAGGAGTTGGGATTCTCCTTACCGTCATCCCCCATCTCCATCTGAGCTGTGGAGGAGGAAACAAGAAAGTCTTAAGGAAGCTCAGCCTACCCCCGCCACCGCCCCCCACCCCGCCTGCTCTGGAGTAAGGGGGGAGCAGTAGTCTTCTCCCTGTTCAACTCGGTCCCTCACCTCAAATACCAACAAGGCAAATCATTTCCATTTGTCTCCTCTTCTGCTGGAACTGAGGTCATCTCATTAATGATAGCACCAACTGATGTTAATAGGGCCCTTGCTGTGTGCCAAGTGCTGTGCTAAGCACTTTAGGTGCTCACAAATCCCCTATAAGGTAGGTAAAACCATGAGAAAACAGGCACAAAGAGGTCCAGTAATGTGCCCAAAGCCACATTGCTAGTCTTTGGTGGAAGCAAACTTCTCTGGCTGACCCTAGAAGTGCCTCTTTACTGCTACTCTGTGTCCCTTCACTAAGGAAGGACCCATATCCCTAACCCTTCTACAAGGAGTGCTCTTTTGAAATGGAACTGGCTACTGAAATCCATTTCTAACCCATGGAAGAATAGCTCTTTGGAGGGAGATGAGGGGTTGTGGAAGTGTCTACAGGAGCTCTCCAAGCTTTTACTCCCATACCCCCAGTCCCCATACAAATGCAGATCTGTAAATATGCTTCCCATTTTCCTCCCTACTACCCCATTGGGACAAATAGGCGAGAACCATTCCCACTTCACAAAGGAGGAAATAGGGTTAAGTAGTTAAATAACCTGCCCAAGGCACTGGCCTTGAGCCCTAGTATTCTCCCTGGGAATCTGGGTGACATACTAAATGCCCTACCAGGACACTGCTGGGAAGGGCAGTAGCAGTGAGGGCCCTAATAGCACAGAGCTCTGAGGAAGGACCTAGCAAGGTGGCACTGTCACACAGCCTATCACACAATCCAGGTGGGAAGCAGCTGATGATTAACAGTGGACGCCCAGATAAAGCTGACAAACACTGGGATGCTGCCTTCACTTGGGACTGATCGCTAAAGGATCCAGAAGGGGAATCCCAGCCCTGGGGAGGCTGGTGCAGGGATTCTGAGGGCCTGGTTGGCTTTGACAGGTTTCAGAGTGGGCCGGTGGCTAATCAGGTGGCGTTGGGCGCAGATACTGGGAAGACAAGGCCATCTAAACGCCTTTTCAAAGCTGGGGCCTGAGAGTAAGTAGAGAGAGAAAACTACAACTCCCAGAAACCCCTGCTCCCCGCCCCGCCAAGGATAGTTGCTATGGTTTCAGAAAACAATATGGCTGCTCCCAGCTGGGAGGAGAGTCTCTGGATGGGAGAGGCAGAGGCAGGTCTGGTCGCCCTCAGTGGCGAGAGAAGAGGCGCCTGAGGTTGGGGCTGGACGCTGCACGGCTGGAACGGCCTGGCCTTGCCGAGGGTGCCGATGGCGGGCAGCGTGGACGAGGAGGCGCTGCACCAGCTCTACCTGTGGGTAGACAACATCCCTCTGTCCCGACCCAAGCGAAATCTCTCCAGGGACTTCAGTGACGGAGGTGTGCACCTCAGTATGTGTGCGCTCCTGTGTGTCTGTCCCGTGTGTCCGTGTTTGTTGACACGTTCTGTCCTGTATGTACGTGTGTAAAGGGTCTGTAGACATATGTCTCTTTGTGCTTCTGTGCGTTTGGGTATGTGTGTGTTGGGGGGTGTCTGACTATCTCTTAGAACTTCAGGTATGTGTGTGTGTGTGTTTCTATCTGTATCTGTGGGAATATGAGTATGTGTGTGTCCATATGTATGTCCCCTTGTTCTATCCATTATGCATGTGTGGTGGTGTTGATGGTGTGTGTCTGAGTGTGTGAGTCTGTGACTCCCTCCTGAGACTTTAATGACTAAGATGTGTATCTGTGTATGTTTTTGTGCTTCTCTCTGTGTGTACTTGTTCATTGCTGTATTCTATATATCTGCCTTGTGGGAGTCTGAGCATGTGTATGTTCATACGTTTGTTGATATGTTCTGTCTTGTATGCATGTAGGGGGTCTTATGTGCATATGTGTTTCTTTGTGATTATTAGGTGTCTGTGTGTCTAAGGCTGTCTCCTGAGATTTTAATGGCAGAAATATGCGTCTCTGTATGGTACATTGTTGCCTATGTGACTTATTGTGCATGTGTGTGTTGGTGACTATCTCCTGGAACTTCAGTGATGGAAACATGTGTCTGTGTATGTGTTTGTGCATCTCTGTGTGTTGTATGTGTGTGTGCTATATGTGGGCCTGTGTATGTATGGGCATGTGTGTGTCCTGTGTGTCTACACACTTTGTCCTATGTGCATATCTGTAGGGGGATCTTATCACATGTGTCTGCTTGTGTGAATCTGTGACTCTTTCTCGGGACTTTGGTGTTGGAGTGTGTGCGTGCGTATCCGTGTAAATGACTAGGGTGGGCCCCCAGGCCCCTGATGAGCTCTCTTGGAGACTCATTCTCTACTAGAGGACCAGAGACCTTAGTTTTCATATGCCTGAGCTGATGGGGATGGGATGCCACTTCTCTGGGGTATGCTGGAGGCTGATCATTGATTTCTGATCTTGCTTTCTTGAATCCCTTTCCCTCTCCTCCACCACCCCTCCCTCCCTATCATCCTTTTCCTTTCCACATCACCTCTGTGCTTGGCCCCAACACTCTGCAACCCCTGATTCTTCCATCCCATGCACATCTTCTCCCTACTCCTTTTCCCTTACCCCCCCCCCCATCCATGTCTGTTCCCATTCCCTCAGTCCTGGTTGCAGAAGTCATCAAGTTTTACTTCCCCAAGATGGTGGAGATGCACAATTATGTCCCTGCCAACTCTCTCCAACAGAAGCTCAGCAATTGGGGTCACCTAAACAGGTAGCAGAATGCCTGGTGCACTACCGGAATCTCCATCCCCTACCCCAACCCTGGGATCCCAGGAAGGGCTGCCCCAGCACGACCCCCCCCCCCCCCCCGCCCCACACTTCCTATGGTCTCCAAAGCCCGGGCTGGGATTCTGTTGGTGGCAGGGTAGGAAGGGACAGCGCAGTCAGAATCCGGTAACAAAATCAAGGGATTCTTTTAATGGGGAGGAGACAAGGAAACAGGACACCCCAGAATCGGGTTCATTCCCCCAGGGCTGCACCACTTCCTTCTCCTCCACGCCCCTCACTTCATACCCCCGAGACCCAGTCCGCCATCCCGGTGCCTATCTCCCAGGAAGGTGCTGAACAAACTGAACTTCTCGGTACCGGAGGATGTGATGCGCAAGATCGCGCAATGCGCGCCGGGCGTGGTGGAGTTAGTGCTCATTCCGCTGAGGCAGCGCCTGGAAGAGCGGCAGAGGCTCAGGAAGCAGCGCACCAGCTCCTTACAGGTGCCACCCCACTCAAGCTTCTCCCACTGCTTTGCGGGAGCTTCCCAGGCGGCAGGAAGCCCCGCCTTGCCGATAGATGTGGGGGAAGGGTGTCTGGCAAAGGGAGCCTGGCCTTGGGGACCAAGGAAGAGACATGGGGCCCTTTGGGGATGAGCGAGCCTGACCTCACAGTCAACCCTGGGGCTTCTTTCAGGAGCTGGCTCCCCAGGATGGCACTGGCTACATGGATGTGGGTAAAGTGGTCTTTACTTGTCTTCCCTCCCAGGAGCAGCTTTCCTTCTGTCCTACCTGTGGGGGAAGGGAGGGAGGGAGAAGGCAGGAAAATAGGACTCCAGCACGGCCAACCCCTTCACTTGCCTCCTCTCAGGTTTGTCCCAGAAGGCCCGAGGGGAAGGTGCCCCAGACCCCCAGGGAGGGGGGCAGCTCAGGTAGGGAAGCTGGGAGTTCCTATCTCCCCAGGCCTGGTGATCCCCCAATACAGGGCTGGCAGGTAAGGGTGGGGGCAGGCTGTTCCTGGGAAGCAGGAACGGGGGTTGGGGGGGAAGGGAAGGCCTGGCCGAGGGGCATTGGAAGGGTGAGCGTGGGGCCCCAGGTCCGGGCCTCCGCTAAGCTGCTTCCCACCCCAGGGGGGGCCGGCCGCCCGCGCCCCGGCCTCCGGGATATAGCCAGGCAGTGCAGGGCGACCCAAGCTTCGTCCTCCAGATCGCTGAAAAAGAGCAGGAGCTGTTGGCCTCGCAGGAGACTGTGCAGGTGAGGGTGACTGGGAAGGCGCGGGCGGTGGTGGGGCAGTGGGGGCTTAGGGCCTGCACGGGTGGGGACAGAGGGCAGCAGGCCGCTGACTTCGCCTCTGTGCCTCATGGCCCAGGTCCTGCAGATGAAGGTGAGGCGCTTGGAGCACTTGCTTCAGCTCAAGAACGTGCGCATCGACGACCTCTCCCGGCGGCTCCAGCAGGCAGAGCGTAAGCAGCGGTGAGCGGCTGCCCGGGCCGCGCGGGGACGCCCCAGTACCCGCCAGAGCCCAGACACCGCGACCGAGGCACCCACCGACCTACTGACGGACGATTGGGCGGGCAGAGCCAGCAGCTCCAATGAGCCTCCTGGGGAGCCAGCGCGCCCTCCCTTGGGATGAGGGCGAATATGGGGGCAGGGGCAGTGAGGCAGGCGCCTTCAGAGCAGAGCCCCTGGACTGAGCCACCTCCTTCCACTCCACCCGGGTCAGGAGAATGGACCGCTTTCCAGAACCCAGAAGCCACGTGCAGAGACCTCGCATGTTCCCCAAAGCAGTGCCCAACACCAGGGACTCCGCCTTGGTGCTCCCTGCCCTGGGCCTTGGGGGGCGGTGCCCCGGCTCGGTCCACACCCCTAGAAACAGGTCCCAGCCCAGCTCTGAGGACCGCGGCATCTCCATCCAGCCTAGTTCTCTGTGCTCTGGGCCGTGGGGAAAGCTGCCCCAGGCAGCTGAGGGTGACCCTTGCCTTTCCTGGGAGCTCATCTGGGACCCAACTCGAGGATGGAGAACACAGCAGCTGGAGAAGAAGGGGTGAGGAATAGGTTCAGCCGGGAGTGGGGAAGACATGGGCTGTGTCTGTCCCAATCACCCTCCCCTCCTGTGGGGGGACCTTTGAGAATGCTTGGGAGATATGGGATCACACTGCCCCCATTAAAGAAGTTGTGCTATCTTTCCAGCAACTGCCTTCTCTCTCTGTCCAGATTTCTTGCCCCTCTTAATGCTGCACTCCCCCACCACCCCCCTTTTGAGTGAAAGAGCCTTGTAGGCCCAGAGTGGGTCTCACCTTGTGGGCACCTGGTCCCTGGGTGGCCACTGCCTGGTAGGTTGATGATATCACAGGGGTTAGATCTTGTGCACTAGAACAGCCTGACTTCTAACTCTGGCCTTAGACTGACCCCCAAACCCACCCTCACAGAATCTTCCAACACTGTCCAAACCCAACTCCAAACCTAGGCTTCACATTCTCCCCAAGTATAAACACACCCTCACCCTCACCCTCAACCCTGTCCATGGACTGACCCCCAAATCTGTCCTCTGTATGACTCCCAACCCCACTCACAGACTGTTCCCTAATTCTATGGACTGAAGCCAAGCTTGACTCTCAACCTGACCAAGACACTCTGGCCATGATGTGACCCTGATAATTTACTGGCTACTAGTAACATTCAGAGACCCCACAATTCTATTCCTACACATATATTCAGCATATACCTCGGGGAAACTTAAGCTCTTGTGTTCTGTATTCTGCCACACCTGTATAGCAATGTTCATAGTGACATTCTCTGTAATAGAAAATAATTGAAAATAACTTGTATTAGTGTCTATCATGTGTAAGAAATTACCACAAACTTAGTGGCTTTAAACAGCACACACTTATTATCTCATATATTCTGTGGATCAAGAGTCCAGGCATGGCCGAGCTGGGTCCTCTGCTTCAGAGTTTCTCCTAAGGCTGCAATCAAAGTGTTGGCTAGAGCTGTAGTTTCATCTGAAGTCTTGACTGGGGAAGGATTCACTTCCAAGTTCACTTGGTTGTTGACAGAGTTCAGTTCTTTGTGGACTGTTGGACCGAGGGTTTCATTTTCTTGTTGGTTGTTGGCTGGTGCTGCCCTCCTTTCCTTCCCATGTGGTCACATCCAGTAAGTATGCTAGCTTACTTCACCAAAGCCAGCAAAGGAGCGAGTTAACAGAGTCTGCTAGCAAGATGGCAGTTGCAATCTTTTTTTTTTTTTTAAAGATTTTATTTATTTATTTGACAGAAAGAGACACAGTGAGAAAGGGAACACAAGCAGGGGGAGTGGGAGAAGGAGAAGCAGGCTTCCCGCTGAGCAGGGAGCCCGATGTGGGGCTCGATCCCAGAACCCTGGGATCATGACCTGAGCCGAAGGCAGACGCTTAACGACTGAGCCACCCAGGCGCCCCTGGCAGTTGCAATCTTATCTAATGTAATCACAGAAGTGACATCCATCACATTTGTTGTATCCTATTTATTAGAAGTAAGTCATGAGGGGGCGCCTGAGTGGCTCAGTCGTTGAGTGCCTGCCTTCAGCTCAGGTCATGATCCTAGGGTCCTGGGATCGAGCCCCGCATCAGGCTCCCTGCCCAGCGGGAGGCCTGCTTCTCCCTCTTCCTCTCCCACTCCCCTTGCTTGTGTTCCCTCTCTCGCTGTGTCTCTATCTGTCAAATAAATAAATAAAATCTTTATTAAAAAAAAAAGAAGTAAGTCATGAGGTCCAGCCCACATTCAAGCGGAGAGGTACATGTGGGTGTGAATACCAGGAGACAGGGATCATTGGGGGCCATTTTAGAAGCTGTCTACCACAGGGAGGAAAAAGCAATAAAAAGATAAAAGCTAGAATAGTGGTTACCTCTGAGAGGAAGCGGAGGGCAGAGATGCAAGAAGCACATGAGTTATTTGTAATGTTTTAGTCCTTGGGCAGGTGGTGGGTTTACAGATGTTCCTAGTGGGCTGTTTAAGGACAAGCAGGAGAGTGTCATGAACTAAGGAGTATGTGCAGTCCAATTCTGTTTACCTGAGTTCCTCAAATAATAAATAAACATAAAAATTGATGACTACTCCTGACCTTGGTCTGAGCCTCTTCCCTGCACTCAGCCTGGTCTTAGGTTAACACTGGTGTCAGCCTGATCTTCTACCTTCCCCCAATTTTTTTTAAAGATTTTATTTATTTATTTGACAGAGAGAGACACAGCAAGAGAGGGAACACAAACAGGGGGAGTGGGAGAGGGAGAAGCAGGCCCCCCACCAAGCAGGGAGCCCGACGCGGGGCTTGATCCCAGGACCCTGGGATCACGACCGGAGCCGAAGGCAGACACCAAATGACTGAGCCACCCAGGCGCCCCCCTTCCCCAAATTAACCACCAGCCCTCACACATATTGATCCCAGCTCTAGCACTGTTTTCCTGCTATTGTCTGCATGGAGTCTCCAGAGTTCTGTTCTCTGAATCCATCGTCATGGACCACACCTGTAGACTCCTGTGTGTGCAGCTGGTAGGAATGGTTTGTAGAGGGGCTTGGGGTCAAGGAGGTGGGGTAGGGCATGGTTCTACCTGACAGAAGCACGGTAGGCTCAGAGTACAGGTTTGGTGGCAGGGGTCACCCCCTCAAGAGTCTGCTGGCTCCCTCCATGGCAGAGGCTGGGCCAAGTCCTAGAGGAACTCCTCTTCCTTGAGTTCCTCCCCCAACCCCAGCTATTCCTGGTTTTCAGATATGCCTGAATCTAAAATCATATTTGACACCCTAAAATTAAATCCCCAAAACAATGGAGAATTTTATTGAATGTTTCTTGGGAATAAATATGAAAGTGGATTACATCACACATTATAATACTATAACTCTTCTTTTATTTTTTAAAAATATTTTTATTTATTTATTTGACAGAGAGAGAGACCGCAAGAGAGGGAACACAAGCAGGGGGAGTGGGAGAGGGAGAAGCAGGCTTCCCGCTGAGCAGGGAGCCCCATGCGGGGCTTGATCCCAGGACCCTGGGACCATGACCTGAGCTGAAGGCAGACGCTTAACGACTGAGCCACCCAGGTGCCCCTCCTATAACTCTTCCTGAAACATCCCTCTTGTTCCCCAAACTTCCCCTCTGACAGCCATTGCCATATTTCTCCCCCTCTGATCCTCACACTCCTCTCCCTTTTCTGACCCACACTAAATCTGATTTCTTCTGGTTTATTCATTCATTCACTCATTCATTCCTCAAATGTTTATTTAGTGCCGACTATGTACTAAATGCCACACAAAGATGAGTATAAAACATGATTTGTCTCCCCAAGTGTTCACAATCCTAGGAGAAGGCATGCAAAGTGATACTTAAAATTTTTTGTTACTCAATGTTTTAAATAGATAAAACACACATAATTAAAACACATATAAAAAGTAAAATGTCTCATTGGTGCCCACACAACCCCAGTAGGGTTAACCTTTTTTTTTTTTTTAAGATTTTATTTATTCATTTGAGAGAGAGAATGGGAGAGAGAGCACGAGAGGGGGGAGGGTCAGAGGGAGAAGCAGACTCCCTGCTGAGCAGGGAGCCAGATGCGGGACTCGATCCTGGGACTCCAGGATCATGACCTTAGCCGAAGGCAGTCGCTTAACCAACTGAGCCACCCAGGCACCCAGGGTTAACCTTTATCTTTAGTTTTTGTGCATTCTGCCAGAATGTCTTTTTGTGAATACAAGCAAATATGCACTTTTATTGTTATTCTGCACCCCCTCTTTTTTTTTTTTACCCTAAAGGGGAAGCATACTACCCACTCTGTCCTGTATCTTGATTTCCACTCAATATGATCTCTTATAGATATGTGATGGTCAATGTTATATGCTAGCTTGACTGGGCCACAGAATGCCCAGATATTTAGTCAAACATTCTGTGAGGGTGTTTTCAGATGAGATTAGCATTTAAATTTAAAGGTAGACTGAGTTAAGCAGATTGCTCTTCCTAGTATCGGTGGGACTCATTCAATAAGTTGAAGGCCTGAATAGAATAAAAAAGGATGTCTCTTGGGGGTGCCTGGGTGGCTCAGTTGTTAAGTGTCTGCCTTCGGCTCAGGTCATGATCCCAGGGTCCTGGGATCAAGCCCCACATCGGGCTCCCTGCTCTGTGGGAAGCCTGCTTCTCCCTCTCCCTCTCCCCCTGCTTGTGTTCTCTCTCGTGTGTCTCTCTCTGCCAAATAAATAAATAAAAAATCTTAAAAAAAAAAAAAGGTGTCTCTTCCCTGAGTAAGAGAAAATTTCTTCTTGATGGCCTTTGAACTGGGACATTGGTTTTCCCTGCCTTTAGACTCTAGCTGAAATATCAATTCTTCCTGTGTCTTGAGCCTATCAGCCTTTGGATTAGCCTCTCCTAGGTTCCAACTTGCTGACTCATTCTGTAGATCTTGCAACTTGGCAGTCTCTCTCACCACATGAGCTAATTACTTCTTATAAATCTCTATCTGTATCACCTGTATCATCTGTCTCTATATTATCTCCTTTTACTTTCTCCAGAGAACCTCAACTAATACAAGATTTTTCCATATCAATACATTGAAAACTTCCTGTTTGTTTTTTTTTTTT